AAGAATTCAGGAATGATGGGAAGAACAGATATTCGACAGATATGACAGGTGATAATAATTGTGATTTTGCCTGTCCAAAAACTCTTGCAAAGTTGAAAAAAGAAAAAAGAAGAAGATTGCTAGTGAACAGCACGTAACTTACCAACAATAACTTGGGAAGAGAAAACACTCGGTACTTGATGAACATCAACAAATTGGTGGTGATCTCTCATTTAAAGGGCCCAGGTCTCTAGAAGATATTCTAAAGAAAAAGCGAGATGAGATACTAGGATCTAAGAATGGGAAGACATGGTCAACTAATGATGAAAAAAATAATCAAAAGAATGGAAATAGTAATGAGACAAGCATCTGTCTTTACAATAGTAAGGAAGACAAGTCTGCATCAGGTAATAAAGCTGGAGCAGAAGAAATCACGTCAACCGATGCTAGTGAGCTAGAAGCTAGATGTAATAATGACAGTTGTAGATGATATAGACCAAGAATGCAAAGGCAATGAGCAGAAGGATCGGGGATTCAAATTATGAACAACAGGATGGAGAATACTGTGAAGGTGATAATGAAGATGCTGAAGACGAATACCATACGGAGGAGGAAGATCAAGATGACGAGTTTGTAACGAAGATGAGTGTCATGTCTTAGATGTTCTTTTGCTTTAAAATGGCATTTTTCATTGTTGTCAATTGATTTTGGGTTTCACAAGTATAGATGTGTCAAAAACTTTTTATCGCTTGTAACATTTTCCTTTTTATTTTTCCACTGGATCTATTTTTGCGTGTCTAATAAAACCCATCTCTTACAAGAAAATTCGCGGCATGTTAAGTCCAAGTCTTGGTAAAGCATTTGCTTTGTATTGAACTAATTACATGCTCCATCAAGATGCTTCAACTTCATGAATCACCCAAAAGAAATTTCAATCAACCATCCAAACACTAGTCACTAGGTTTACAGAAGTTACAAGTATTTTGAATTTTTTTTATAAACATATTTGACATATTATACACGTAAGGATGATGTAAATGTTCACTAAGAATAAGGGTCTATGTTCATTTTTTATAATAGAATTTGTAAAAAAAAAAAAAAAAGAAATTTTGAAGAAGGTATAGTTAAAAAGTATGGAAAAATTACGGTCAACGTACAAAATTATTTTACTTTATTTTCATTTTTAGTTCGAAGTCGACTTTTGGCGGTAACGATAAGATCTTCTCAATTGTAAATTTACCATCTACAAGTGTAAGTGACATTTGAGCTCAAGATACTTAATACAGAAGGAAAGAGGGGCAATGATAATGGCGATAAATTATCTCTCGCACTTGGTTACCCAATGTTTACTGTGGGCAAAATAACTGGTACACCATACGTGCAAATAAAATGAAAATGGATTAGGCTTAAAAAATAATCCTTTTCTTTACAGTCTTATCTTATTCTAATAAGAAAGCACTCTTAGGGTGTATTTGAGCCCCTATAATTTTGAAATATGTATTATGGAATAGTAAATTGATGGAGAATATGTTGTTAAAAAAGAAAGAAAGCTTTTAGTTTGCGTGTAATATTATTTTAATGAAGATTGTGGGATTGAAAATGAGTATCGTAGAAAAAACAACATGGTAAAATGTAAAATAATAGATGACAAATAGGGACTTAGTTCAGCTCATCATTGTTTGCACGGTTTCAAATATGCAATGGAAACCTAACCAAAATCTCTAAACTCATTCCCATTCATATAAGGGCAAAATATGGTGCAAAACAATACTTTCACATTTTACTTAACGAAAAAAGCACTGTATTAAATTTTTCAAGTGCCTAGAGTTCATCCTAACGTAAGCATCCTCGTCTTTTTGGCCATTGCAGTCCTCTTTGATTAAATTAGGGACGGATTTAAGGGGGGACTAGCTGGGCTGTAGTCCCCCCTCACCTGGTCCAATTAAAATTTTTTAGGCTAATTTTCTTTTTTTTTTTGTAAAAACAGATTTTTAATGAGTAAATTTTTTTTTCACGTATTAGCCCGGCTTGAATTTTTTTTTTAGCCTGATCTTGAATTCAAACCTAGATCCGTCCTTGGATTTAATGTCCAAGCAATCCTTTTGTTCTTAGCATATATTATGTGACGTCATTTTGATAATTTGCAAGTCTAGCCGAATTTTGATGTTAAAACCTATAATTGTTGAACAAAGTCTCCGTTGGGCAAAATTTGTATTTAGTGCATGTTTGATATTAATTTTTCATCCCAAAAAAATTAATTTTTTGCCCGTTAGTTCACTATTCAAGCTGTCATTTTTTTATTTCTTTTCTCACAGGTAAGATCCACTTTTCTTTCCAACGATTAAAAAATCAATTTTCAAAATCACTACCAAACAAGCCCTTATTTGTTAATTATACCTTCTTAATGGATCTACAAATACTATCCATTTATTTCTATTTATTTATTAATTAAACCATTTTTTTTTTCAAACGGGGGCTAAAATGGGGGAAGAATTACCCCATTAATCACAACACGTTGCCTCAATGGTAAGTTGGTCCCCTACCTTTATAACGAAGCAAGTCGATCCTTATTTTTTCACAATATGTGGTGATATCGTTTAGGGTCTAATGTACAATTTCACCTAAATTAGTTGACAATCTGAAATACCCTTTTCTTGATCCGCAAAATTAACAAGTTTTCATTTTAATCATCAATTTTTTTTAAAAAGAATTCTTAAAATAATTGTGTCTCTATGCAAAAAACTTCAAAATAAAATATGAAGAAAGTGAAATTTATTAAAAAGTTGAGTGCCCTCTAGTTTTTTAACCCCAATTTACTAATAAAAATGCCTTTCTAATAATAATAAAAAGAATAAAATTGTATGTATACTGTTCCTTTTTGGTATTTCCATTTTTAAAAACTACTCTTTGATTAGATTATTTACATAACAATGACTTGTCAACTGATGTCAACTGAGCAACTTACTTGTCCTTTGAATAATTGACCCAATTACCTTTATTAGCCGTGCTAGGAAAATAGGGCCACATGGCCTCCCTATTGGCAAGTTGCCCATCCTCGTTCGAAAAAGAGGGCTTATGTGGCCCTGTTTGAGAAGAACTATTCTTACCTTTATAAGATCGCGTCCCGTCGAATATTGTAATTACTTGCATATGAATAAAATTTGAAAAATGCTAAATGTACAGAATCTGCTGTACACTTAGTTTGACAACCCTATCACATGGGTGGGGCTCGTGATTATTTAAATCGCGAGCCCCACCCTTCACGAGCCCCACCCTTCTATATGAGAGGGCTGTCGAAGAAGGTGTACAATGTGCACATTTCATAAAAATTAGATGGATAATACGAAAGTACAAAATAAAAATAAAATAAAATCACTATCACCTACTACCATAAAAGAGAGGATGATGTTTTGTGCACCCTCCTTTTCACACCTATCCCATTTTCTATAGTTCATGAACTGGTTTGGCTTAAAAAACGTTGTTTCAAGATAATATACGATACAAAATTCTCTACCGCTTAACCCAAATTGCTCTTCCTCTGGCGATCATACAAAGAAATTCGAAAGAATCTAAGGCAATTGAGACATATACCGGTAAGTATAATCTTCACTACTTCAATTTCTTCCTCTTCTGTATATTGTTTCCAATTTTTCGAGTTCTGTTGTTGAGTCTAGGATTTCTTTTTAACTTTTTTGTTCGATCTTTTAAGTAGTCGAACCAAAATACCTAAAGTATGTGTCTTTGATGTTCTTCTTGTGTATTTCTTCATGTTGCAATGAAAATTCCAACTAAGGCTGATCGAATTATGGATCAAGGAGAGCAAAACTCAACTGTAGTTCTGGAGGCCAAGTTGAAGGAACTGGAGATTATATTTAAGGGTTGGTTAGCCAAGCAGTTGTTACTTGTGGAGGCCACCATCGTCACCACTATCAGCGCTACCCAGGGTGCCGCCATAGGTGCTTTCATGGGAACTCTAATGAGTGGCTCGACCTC